CTATCGAGGAAACAATCAGATGTGCCCTCAGTGGGGCGTTGCGCAATGTCCATAAGACATTTTTGGTTGTTCACATTTGTAGTGGTGGTGCGGTTTTGCCACGGAAACATCTTAGTGAATAAAAGTTTAGGTGATTACTGCTTAAGGTCCTATGAATGCACAGAGCGCCCTAACAAAAGGAATGTTAGGCCCAAAAATGTTAATTGTGTGAGATGGAAAAACACTTCTTATATACAACACAACTATTTGTTACTCACAGGCTTTCTGTTTTCGATGTTAGAGTGCTGCAAAATTCTTTTTTTTTTTTTTGAGACGGGAGTCTCCCTCTGTTGCCCAGGCTGGGGTGCAGTGGCCAATCTCAGCTCACTGCAAATCTCCTCTCCGGGTTCACGCCATTCTTCCTGCCTTAGTCTCCCAAGTAGCTGGGACTACAGGCGGCTCGCCACCTGCCCATCTATTTTTTTGTATTTTTATAGAGACGGGGTTTCACCGTGTTAGCCAGGGATTGTCTCTCAATCTCCTGACCTCCGTGATCCCCGCCTCTGCCTTCCCACTCCCAAAGTGCTGGGATTATAGGTGTGAGCCACCGTGCCCAGCAAAGTTCTTAACTGGTAGTATAAAGCTTAATATGTGCTATAAAAGATTGCATGAACCAATATGGCTTGTTTTTGAGACGGAGTCTTGGCTATGTTGCCCAGGCTGGAGTACAGTAGCACGCGATCTCAGCTCACTGCCACCTCTGCCTCCCCAGTTCAAGCGATTCTCCTGCCTCAGCCTCCACAGTAGCTGAGATTCAGGCATGCCCCATCATACCTGGCTAATTTTTGTATTTTTAGTAGAGACATGGTTTCGCCATGTTGGCCAGGTTGGTCTCGAACTCCTGACAGGTGGTCTGCCCACCTTGGCCTCCCAAAGTGCTGGGATTACAGGCGTGAGCCACCATGTCCAGTCCAATATGACTTTTGTATTACACAGCTTATTCTATTTGTCACTCATACGTAAACTCATTCATGTTACAGAAATACAGGTGGTAGCAGTATACATAGTTTTTTGTGTTTTTTTAAGTGTGTATTTTCTGATCTTGCATGGTGCATTTCTACTTAGCTGATTTTTCTTCTTAGAAAAACCAATTATAGCTCTGACTACAGGCTGATTTGAGTGTAAAAAAAAAAACAACTTTAAGGTGTTAATTTAAATGCTTTCCCTAGATGCTATCTTACTAATTTATTTTCCCCTTTTTTCCCAGCCTGTCTCGATATAGATTGAAATTTAGCGCTGATAAAGTAGACACAATGATTGTTCAGGCAATTTGTAAGTATAGTACATGCAAAGTCTGATTTGTTGCTCTGTCCTTCATGCGTTTTCATACTGTTGAAACTGTATCTTTTATGATTCTATCTGTTGAGAAAGAGAAAGGAGGCCAGGTGCGGTGGCTCACGCCTTTAATCCCAGCACTTTGTAAGGCTGAGGTGGGCAAATCACCTGAAGTCAGGAGTTCAAGACCAGCCTGGCCAACATGGCAAAACCCTGTCTCTGCTAAAAATACAAAAAAATTAAATGTGCATGGTGGTGTGCACCTGTAATCCCAGCTACTCAGGAGGCTGAGGCAGGATAATCACTTGAACCCAGGAGGCAGAGGTTGACTATTTGGAGATTAGTCCAAATAGTGGACTACAGAGTTAACATTACGTTAATTAATTCATTTCTGTTTTTCCATGAAAATGTTAAAAACATAAGTGGAATCTTTGTAGTTGTATGTTCTGCTGTGTCATTAAATGATTTTTAGAAAGCTGAAAAGCTGCCAGGCACAGTGGCTCATGCCTGTAATCCCAGCGCTTTGGGAGGCTGAGGCGGGAGGATCACCTGAGGTCAGGAGTTCGAGACCAGCCTGACCAACATGGAGAAGTCCCGTCTCTACTAAAAGTACAAAATTAACCAGACTTGGTGGTGCATGCCTGTAGTCCCAGCTATTTGGGAGACTGAGGCAGGAGAATCACTTGAACCCTGGAGGCAGAGGTTGTAGTGAGTTGAGACAGCGCCATTGCACTCCAGCCTGGGCAACAAGAGCAAATCTCCATCTCACAAAAAAAAAAAACTCAAAAATCTTAATCATATTTCTGTTTTAGAAATGCATTTGGCCTTGGCTCACGCCTATAATCGCAACACTTTGGGAGGCCAAGGCAGGTGGATCATCTGAGGTCGGGAGTTTGAGACCTGGCCAACATGGTGAAACCCAATCTTTAGTAAAAAAAATACAAAAATTAGCTGAGCATGATGGTAGGCACCTGTAATTCCAGCTACTCAGGAGGCTGAGGGAGGAGAATCACTTGAACCCCGAGAGTTGGCAGTTGCAGTCGGCTGAGATCACACAATTTCACTCTAGCCTGGACAACATGAGCAGCACTCTGTCTCAAGAAAACAAAAAAGTATTCGGCTGGGCGCAGTGGCTCACACCTGTAATCCTAGCACTTTGGGAGGCCAAGGCAGGTGAATTGCCTGCGCTCAGGAGTTCGAGAGCAGCCTGGCTAACATGGCGAAACCCTGTCTTCACTAAAAATGCAAAATAGTAGCCAGTTGAGGTGGTGTGCGCCTATAGTCCCAGCCACTTAAGAGGTTGAGGAAGGAGAATCACTTGAACCCAGAAAGCAGAGGTTGCAGTGAGCTGAGATTGCGCCACTGCACTCCATCCTGGGTGATGGAGTTAGACTCTATCTCTAAAAAGAGAAAAAAAGAAATGTGTTCAAGCAGCAAGTCCTTTCCTAGATTTATACCTAGAAGAATTAAAAACAAGAACTCAGAGTTCCTTGTACACCAATGTTCATAACAGTGTTATTTACAAAACCAAACAGTGGAAACAACCCAGATACCTTTTAACAGATGAATGGATAAACTGCCTTGTGGATGCAGCTTGAATGTCTCTAATCTGAAATTCAAAATGCTCTAAAATCGAAAACTTTTTGTGCTACCACACGAATCCACAAGTAGAAAACTCTACACCTGACCACATGTGATAGGCCACAGTCAAAACTTTGTTTTATGCACAAAATTATTTAAAATATTATGTAAAACGGCCAGGCGCAGTGGCTCATGCCTGTAATCCCAGCACTTTGGGAGGCCGAGGCGGGTGGATCACAAGGTCAGGAGATCGAGACCATCCTGGCTAACACGGTGATACCCCGTCTCTGCTAAAAATACAAGAAATTAGCCGGGCGTGATGGCGGGCGCCTGTTGTCCCAGCTACTTGGGAGGCTGAGGCAGGAAAATGGCATGAACCCGGGAGGCAGAGCTCGCAGTGAGCCGAGACTGCACCACTGCACTGCAGCCTGGGCGACAGAGCGAGACTCCATCTCAAAAGAGTCCCATCCTCAAAATAACCTCACATGTGTTTGCAAATACTCTGAAATACCTCTGGTCCCGAGCATTTTGGATAACGTACACCCAGCCTCTACACACAGTGGAATGTCAGCCAGCCTTAAAAAGAAATGAAATTCTGACACACATTTCATTTCTTACGCTAAGTGAAATAGTCACAAAGTACTGCATGATTCTGCTTATATGAAGTACCTAAAATAGGTGAACTCAGAGACCGAAGTATAGAGATAACTAGAGGTTGGGGGGAAGGTGGGAATGAGTTACTATTTAATGGGTACAGAATTTTTCAGTTTGTGATGATAAAATTGCTCTGGAAATAGATAGTGGTAATGGTTGCATAACATCATAAATGTACTTAATGCTACTGAATAGTACACTTGAAAATGGTTGAAGTGTTATTATTGTTTTTTTATTTTTTATGACACAGTCTTGCTCTGTCACCCAGGCTGGAATGCAGTGGCATGATCTCAGCTCACTGCAGCCTCCACCTCCTGGGTTCAAGTGATTCTTCTGCCTCAGCCCTCTAGAGTACCTGGGGTTACAGACATGAGCCACCATGCCTGGCTAATTTTTGTATTGTTAGTAGAGACGGAGTTTCACCATGTTGGCCAGGCAGGTCTCGAACTTCTGACCTCATGATCTGCCTGTCTCAGCCTTCCAAAGTGCTGGGATTACAGATATGAGCCACTGCGCCCGGCCTGAAGTGTTAAATTTTATATTGTGTATATTTTACCACAATAAATCCCTTTAAGTTCCTGGTTTTCTTTTGTTTTTGTTTGTTTTTAATCTACTACAGCTTTGTTAGATGACTTGGATAAAGAACTAAACAACTACATTATGCGATGTAGAGAATGGTACGGCTGGCATTTCCCTGAATTAGGAAAAATTATTTCAGATAATTTGACATACTGCAAGTGTTTACAGAAAGTTGGTGAGTAATTTGTTCATCCTTTAAGGCATTGAAAGTAAATGAATTTGATTGCATCCTAAAACATAACGTATAGCATTTTGTTAAGCAAGATTCCCAGGGTTTTTGCAATTTCTATGTATTTGGGAAATGTAGCAATTTAGTGTCTTAAATTTAAGAAACAAAATGAATTTTAACTTAGATTTTGATGGCCTATGACATGACATTAGTACTTAATACTAAATAGCTGTATTTAGTGTTACAGACAGGATTGCTGTCTCTACTGTTAATATACAGAGGAACTTGATTGTTGATTTTTTGTTAATGTGCAAAGGAACTTGATTGATTCATGGTTTACTTGACTTACAAATTACTGGCCCCAGCTTTAGTATAAAATTGTCTGTGACATTATTATTAGTCCTGTCTTTTTAAATTTTTGCTACTTATTTTCTGTAATAAGTTTTGTGGCATATTTTGTCTTGTTTTTACTCTGATTATTTTTTGGAGGAAGGTGTTGGGGAGACATTTCATATCTAAACTTAAACCCTTAAATGAGGAAAACTATTATACTAGGTCAAACTTCTTCATTTTTTTGTTTTGTTTAGGCATCCTTTTCATTGGCTTTCTACTTTTTCTTTTGACTGTTTGCTGGATTTTGTATAATTTGTTGAAGAGTGATTCTCCCTCATCCTCTGCAAACATTCCATAGGCGATAGGAAGAACTATGCCTCTGCCAAACTTTCTGAGTTGCTGCCGGAAGAAGTTGAAGCAGAAGTGAAAGCAGCTGCAGAGATATCAATGGGAACAGAGGTTTCAGAAGAAGATATTTGCAATATTCTGCATCTTTGCACCCAGGTAAATTTTACTTCTGGAGAATCTAGTTGTGGTGTTACCAGCTCTATAATACTAATTTTTCTGATGGCAATGATGATTTACACTTACTGTTGTTCACCTGATAACATAAATATGAGGGTGTTCAGTCACTACCTCATCTGATGCCATCATGATTTGTATACTTAAAAGGGGGAAATACATATTAAAAGGAAGTAATTTACAATCATCGTCTGAATAATGAATTAACCAAAAATCAATTAAGACGGCAGAGAAGACGCCGGGCGTGTTGGCTCACGCCTGTAATCCCTGCACTTGGGGAGGCCAAAGTGAATCACCTGAGGTCAGGAGTTTGAGACCAGCCTGACCAATATAATGAAACCCCATCTCTGCTAAAAATACAAAAATTAGCTGTGCGTGGTGGCATGCACCTGTAATCCCAGCTACTCAGGAGGCTGAGACAGAATCGCTTGAACTAGGGAGGTAGAGGTTGCAGTGAGCCGAGATGGCGCCATTGCATCCAACCTGGGCAAAAAGAGCAAAACTGCATCTCAAAAAAAAAACCAAAAAAGATGGCAGAGAATTATGGATTGAGCTTTTTAATTCTGAGTTTTATGTCTATATCTTGTGATTTTTTTTTTTTTCTTTCAGATTTGAAGATAGTCATATGGGAATTAAAGAGAGCATGACACAAATGTTTATTGCTTAGAAACTTTTTTTTTTTTGGGAGACAGAGTCTCGCTCTATAGCCCAGGCTGGAGTGCAGTGGCACATTCTCAGGCTCATTGCTACCTCTACCTCCCAGGTCCCAGTTTAAGCGATTCTCCTGCCTCAGGTCTTCCTGAGTAACTGGGATTACAGGGCACGTGCCACCATGCCAGCTAATTTTGTATTTTTAGTAGAGGATGGGGTTCACCATGTTGGCCAGGCTGGCCTTTTTTTTTTTTTTTTTTTTTGAGACGGAGTCTCGCTCTGTCGCCCAGGCTGGAGTGCAGTGGCCGGATCCAGCTCACTGCAAGCTCCGCCTGCCGGGTTTACGCCATTTTCCTTGGCCTCAGCCTCCCGAGTAGCTGGGACTACGCCCGGCTAGTTTTTTGTATTTTTTAGTAGAGACGGGGTTTCACCGGGTTAGCCAGGATGGTCTCGATATCCTGACCTCGTGATCCGCCCGTCTCGGCCTCCCAAAGTGCTGGGATTACAGGCTTGAGCCACCGCGCCTGGCCAGCCAGGCTGGTCTTGAACTCCTGACCTTGTGATCCACCTGCCTCGACCTCCCAAAGTGCTGGAACTACAGGCGAGAGCCATTGGGCCTAGGAGCTGCTTAGCGCTTAGATTTTTTTTTTTTTTTTTTTTGAGACAGAGTCTAGCCTGTCTCCCAGGCTGGAGTGCAGTGGCACGATCTCAGCTCACTGCAAGCTCCGCCTGCCAGTTTCATGCCAGTCTCTTGCCTCAGCCTCCCGAGTAGCTGGGACTACAGGCGCCTGTCACCAGGCCTGGCTAGATTTTTTTTGTTTGTTTTGTTTTTGTTTTTGTTTTTTTGATTTTTTAGTAGAGACGGGATTTCACCGTGTTAGCCAGGATGGTCTCGATCTCCTAACCTCGTGATCTGCTTGCCTCGGCCTCTCGAAGTGCTGGGATTACAGGCATGAGCCACCGTGCCTGGCCTAGAATCTTCTAAAAGTACAGTTACATTTTCAGGCAGTGGACTAGGTGGTTTACATACATTACATAAGAAAGTCCTCACTACAGCCATTTTATAGAAAACTGATATTAGGATCACGACGTCACGAGATTGCACCACTGCACTCCAGCCTGGTGACAGAGCAAGACTCTGTCTCAAAAAACAAAAAGAAAACTGATGTTAGGCATAGTTGATGTACCCAGGGTTGTGTAGCTGCTCTTTCGTGATTGAGGGCTCCAGTGTTTTAGACAGGAATTTTATACTGTTTTTACTCATATGATATTTGTGACTCACTTTATTCCTTATACTAGGTGATTGAAATCTCTGAATATCGAACCCAGCTCTATGAATATCTGCAAAATCGAATGATGGCCATTGCACCCAATGTTACAGTCATGGTTGGGGAATTAGTTGGAGCACGGCTTATTGCTCATGCAGGTGATGGTTTTAATGTAATTTGTAAATATGAGTGTTTGAAGTATTTTCTGGTTAGGATTTTGTTTACATCTTTAAACCACAGCTATTAAAGAAATTTTAGCTAATAACACAAAAGTAGATGGTATGTAGGAGATCACTAAGGGCCAAGTGTTCAATGATGATTTCTATTTGTTTGCCTGATTTCCTTTTGGATAATGAAGGCATCTTTAGTCACTACCTCTTCTGAGACACTTGTAGTCCATTGTTAGAAGTTTGTTATGGTTAATTAGAATAATCAGATGCATGCAGAAGGATAAAACAGTTAACATTTTCATAATAAAAAACTCACTAGACCTAGATTTGAATACAGTTTTAAGAAATCACTGTAGAGGATTTATGCCCTCAATTGATTATCTTAGTTTCACTATTGAGTGTGCGGATGTAATATGTTTGACTTTGAAAAATATTTGCAACAACTGATTTATAGTAAAACTTTGTATATGTGTATGGCAGTATTATAAGGATGATATGCTATAATTAAAATGCTATGTAATTGAATACCTACAAATACAATGAAGTGCTGATTCAGCATTTTTATGTTACTTGGAGACATTGTTATAATCCATCAAAAAAGATCCTATATCATCTGCATCAGAGTGTTTAAAACAGCATAACTCCTTTTTTGTTTGTTGGTTTGAGACGGAGTTTCAGTCTGTTACACTGGCTGGAGTGCAGTGGCTCACTGCAACCTCCGCCTCCCGGGTTCAAGCAATTGTCCTGCCTCAGCCTCCTAAGTTGCTGGAATTACAGGTGTGCGCTGCCACCATGCCTGGCTAATTGTTACATTTTTAGTTGAGACAGGGTTTTTGCCATGTTGGCCAGGCTGGTCTCAAACACCTGACCTTGGGTGATCTGCCCACCTCGGCCTCCCAAAGTGTTGGGATTGCAGGCATGAGCCACTGCGCCTGACCTGGCATATCTTTTAGCTGCATCATTAATCAAAGATTTCATTCAAGTGCCCTCAGCTATAAGATCAGATGATTTCATTGCCTCCACCCATTTTAGGTACAGCTAAACTTGTAGCAGTAAGCAATGGCAGGGGTTAATAGAAGTATGTGTTTGTTGGCCAGGCGTGGTGGCTTACACCTGTAATCCCAACACTTTGAGAGGCTGAGGTGGGTGAATCACCTGAGGTCAGGAGTTCGAGACCATCCTGGCCAACATGGTAAAATTCCGTCTCTACTAATAACACAAAAATTAGCTGGCCTTGGTGGCGTGAGCCTGTAATCCCAGCTACTCGGGAGGCTGAGGCAGGAGAATCGCTTGAACCCAGCAGGTAGAGGTTGCAGTGAACCGAGATTGTGACATTGCACTCCAGCCTGGGCAACAAGAGCGAAACTCCATCTCAAAAAAAAGGAACTATGTATTTATTACACTTTTTAAACTATGTCTAGTGCTTAAATTCATAGCATTAATATTGAGTCTGTTTTCTGACAATAAATATTCTATTCAGCATATCCAACTAAGCAGCATGTTGATAACAATAGTCCCCAGCTATTTATGGGGATATATTCTAAGCTCTCCCTTCCAAGGATGTTTGAAACAGAGGATAGTACTGAACCCCATACTGTATATACTGTTTTTTCCTAAACATACATATCTACAATAAAGTTTAATTTATAAATTAGGTACAGTGGGATATGAACAACAGTAATAATAGAATAGTTATAACAATATTCCAGCTGCCAGGTGCAGTGGGTCACACCTGTAATCCCAGCACTCTGGAAGGCCGAGGAGGGTGGCTCACAAGGTCAGGAGTTCAAGATCAGCCTGGCCAAGATGGTGAAACCCTGTCTCTACTAAAAATACGAAAAAAATTAGCTGGGCGTGATGGTGGGCGCCTGTAATCCCAGCTACTCAGGAGGGTGAGGCAGATAATTGCTTAAACCTGAGAGGCAGAGGATACAGTGAACCAGGATCGTGCCACTGCACTCCAGCCTGTGCGACAGCAAAACTCCATCTTCAAAAAAAAAAAAAATATATGCCAGCATAACTATTTTTGTGCATTGTTTACTTGAATATAAGCACTGCAGTACTACTGCACCACAGAGAGGGCTACAAAAGTGACTAATGGGTAGATAGGGATGGCGGGGGAGCTGAGTGGGGCGGCAAGAGACTTAAAACCTAGTGTTCCTGTGTGTGACATTTATGTCACTCCTGTAGTACGCTAATGAAATATAGAATGGTACTACCATCTCTCAGGTGAATAGAGACATTGGACTTAATAAGCTTAACCTTCAGTTTGTCCTAGGCATTCATTGCAAACCTGCTTGTGCTAATGAAGGAATTACAAATGAAACATCAAGGTTTTTAGGGAATTCTGGATTATAGAATTCTATATTATATGTGATTTTTATTTATTGTGGTGGCTATAATATTGTATAGGTCTTTTGTTTTAGTACATGGAACATTCTTATATTTGAAGGTGCATTCTTTGTAACTTTTTTCTTTTATAGGTTCTCTTTTGAATTTGGCCAAGCATGCAGCTTCTACCGTTCAGATTCTTGGAGCAGAAAAGGCACTCTTCAGAGCCCTCAAATCTAGACGGGATACCCCTAAGTACGGTCTCATTTATCATGCTTCACTTGTAGGCCAGACAAGTCCCAAACACAAAGGAAAGGTGTGTTACAGGGTTTTGTTTTGTTTTTGAGGTTGGACTTCTTCATTTTTTACAACCCTTTTTTCTTCTGTAGTACACATTACTCAACTGATTATCTTAGTTTCACTATTGAGTGTGCGGATTTCTCGTTACAGAATGGTGAGTTATTTAAATAAAAAGCACTTTGTGTACACTGAAGGATAAAGTTAGAAGAAATTGTTATTTGTTGATTTAAAGCCAGTTTCTTCATTGTGTTGGTACTTTTTTTTCCCCTAGGATCTCCCTGTGGTTGGCACACTGAAAATATTATCTCTGGCAGGAAAAAAAAAAATCTAACATTTATGAATCATAAACAATAGTATATGCATTATGCTAAAACACTTTGACAGAATTCACTAAACCTTTTTTTTTTTTTTTTTTTTTTTTTTTTGAGACGGCGTCCTGCTCTGTTGCCAGGCTGGAGTGCAAGTGGCTTGATCTCGGCTCACTACAACTTCCACCTCCTGGATTCAAGCAATTCTCCTGTCTCAGCCTCCTGAGTAGCTGGGACTATAGGCATGTGCACACCTGGCTAATTTTTGTATTTTTAGTGGAGACGGGTTTCACCATGTTGGCCAGGCTGGTCTCGAATTCCTGACCTCGTGATCCACCCACTTTGGCTTCCCAGAGTGCTGGGATTACAAGTGTGAGCACCCGTGCCCATCCTAAATCTTTAGTAGCCTTATGAGATGTAGGTATCTGTTTTACAGATCATGAAACTGAGGCTTAGACAAGTTAAGTACTTTCAGTGTTTTTGAAAGATGTGTTGTTTAACAGAACTAAACTGAAATTTGATAAAATTTAGAGCAGAGTGGTGAAGGGAAATAAAGGGTGCAATAAAATAAAATGTTAATTAGGTTGAAAAAGAACCCACACTTTTTATAATTTATTTATTTATTTATTTTTTGAGATGGAGTCGCGCTCTGTTGCCCAGGCTGGAGTGCAGTAGTGCGATCTTGGCTCACTGCAACCTCCACCTCCTGAGTTCACACCATTTTCCTGCCTCAGCCTCCCGAGTAGCTGGGACTACAGGTGCCCGCCACCACTCCCAGCTAATTTTTTGTGTTTTTAGTAGAGACGGGTTTTCACCATGTTGGCCAGGATGGTCTCGATCTCCTGACCTCGTGATCCACCCGCCTCGGCCTCCCAAAGTGCTGGGATTACAGGCGTGAGCCACTGTGCCCAGTCAGAACCCACACATATTTAAGATTGTTATGGGGAAAAAGATGCACTTGTCGTGAATGACCTCAAGGCACAGAACTAATGTCAGTGAGTAGAAAGTAAAGTTATTTTACAAAATCCAGTTTGAGCTAATTTTTGACAGGAACTGCTATAAAATCTTTTCAGCCACAGGATTGGTGGTGATGTATGGCCATTAGATTGTGGCAAAGATTGAAATACGATGGATGATTTGAATTGTATGATTCATAATAGTTTTGTAATTCCTGATTTTAAAACATCCTGGAATAAATGTGATAATTTGCTGGAACTGTCTCATGAGCCAGTTATTGAGGATTTTACATCTGAACATGGAATATAGTTCTTCATGTTTTTCTATTAGATTTCTCGAATGCTGGCAGCGAAAACTGTTTTGGCTATCCGTTATGATGCTTTTGGTGAGGATTCAAGTTCTGCAATGGGAGTTGAGAACAGAGCCAAATTAGAGGCCAGGTTGAGAACTTTGGAAGATAGAGGGGTAAGAATACCACATCATGCCTATTCCAGAAGTATTAAACTGTCAAAAGTTAATAAATTGAGTAAATTTATAAAGTTACTTTATCTGCTAAACAGTTTTATGATCCTTGTTAGTATGTCTAAAGTATACTTTTTGTGCCTACTATTAACAATTGCTATTATTTACCAAGAATTGATGTATACAATAGCATTTGCCATTAGGATATGCTATTCAAAATAACAAAAAATAGCAGAAATTGTTTGCTGGCCCACTGATTCACTAGACTGTTTAGTGTATTATAAAGTGACTTAGAATTGTATTTGTAATTTTTCCTTTTCGTCTTAGATAAGAAAAATAAGTGGAACAGGAAAGGCATTAGCAAAAACAGAAAAATATGAACACAAAAGGTGAGTACATTTAAGTGACAATGGGGTGAATAGTTTTTTTAAATGTTAATTATTGACAGCGATTTTGTAAATTTCACTTTGATGTGCCCATAGTTTTTCAAATTTATTTAATTGACAAAAATTGTTTATTGTGTACATGTTATTTTGGAAAATGTGCACATTGAGGAATGATTAAGTCAAGCTCATTAACATGCATTGTCTTACTTTTTTTGTAGTGAGGACACCTTAAAATCTACTTAGCAATTTTTAAGAATATAACACATTGTTAACTGTAGTTAACCATGTTGTGCACCCCTAATTTTTTTCCGTGCCATTTAGTTTTCCACATTAACTTCTAGTTTTCATTCATATACGTATTTATTCATTTCCAGATATTGATAATAAATTTTTAAATCTAAAGTTTCTCTATAATATGTTCTTTATCAAAAAGTTCATTCAGCCGGGCATAGTGGCTCCTGCCTGTAATCCCAGCACTTTGCGAGGCCGAGGCGGGCAGATCACCTGAGGTCAGGAGTTAAACACCAGCCTAGCCAACGTGGTGAAACCCCGTCTCTACTAAAAATACAAAAAATTATCTGGGCGTGGTGGCGGGCGCCTGTAATCCCAGCCACTTCGGAGGCTGAGGCAGGAGAATCGCTTGAAACCCGGGAGGCGGAGGGATGCAGTGAGCTGAGATTGCGCCATTCCACTCCAGCCTGGGCAACAAGAGCAAAACTCCGTCTCAAAAAAAAGTTCACTCAGAGTTAGTCCCTACAGAAAACTATTTTGTAAAAAGTATAAAGACAGAAAACAAGTCTAAAAATGGCTGAGGCATGATAAAGCATTCAAACTTAACTATCAGATTAACAAAAGATTTATATGTGGAGGGGTATTTGGCTTATTATTTGAGGTAGTGCTCAATGCTGGTGAGGTTGTCATGGTGGAGGCAGAATGTGGTATAGCTATTCTAGGAAGCCATTTCACAGTATGTATCAAGATTCTTCAAAATGTTCCCAGTCATTACCCAATAAATTATACTTTCAGGGCTCATAAACCTTCAAGAATTTATTTATTTATTTGGTTTTTTAATTTTATTTATTTATTTATTTTTGAGATGGAGTCTCTCTCTGTTGCCAGGCTGGAGTGCAGTGGCGTGATCCTGGCTCACTGCAACCTCTGACTCTCCGGTTCAAGAGATTCTCCTGCCTCAGCCTCCCAAGTAGCTAGGATTATAGGCATATACCACCACATCCAGCTAATTTTTGTATTTTTAGTAGAGCCGGAATTACACCATGTTGGCCGGGATGGTCTCGATCTCCTGACCTCATGATCCACCTGCCTCGGCCTCCCAAAGTGCTAGGATTACAGGCGTGAGCCACAGCGCCTGGCCTCCTTCAAGAATTTTAATAGTAAAATCTTACACTATAAGTGGATAAGGAGAGCAATATATAGTAACATTAGCAATTGTAAATACATATTTAAGTATAATTAGTGTGTTCTGGAAGGAAATCAAATGTGTTTATGTGGGCATTCACATTTTCTTTTTTGTGAATTTTCCAAGCTTTCTACAATAGCCATACATTCTGCAATATTTACAGTCTGTAACTTATTATCTCTAGTTGACAAACATGGGTCTTTGTTTCTTAAATTGTAAATGCCTTTAACCTATAAAAATTAAATAGTCATGCAGTTTACAAATCTGCTTAAGAAACAGAACATTTTTTAACTTGTTTTGAACCAATTTTTTTAATGTTGCTGTGCAATTAATGCTTTTTGCTTTAAACATATGCAGTTAAAGCATCAGTTCACATTTTAGGCACTCATTTCAGTATTTTCTTCCTGCTTACATTAGAACAAAAGCAAATGTTGGGTTCTAAGGAATCTTTTCCATGTGTATGTATTTGTATCCTTTCTTGTTCTGCTTGTGATCTTGTGATGAAGACTTCTATACTCAGCTTGGTTTAGATTTTTTGTTTTGGTTTTTTTTTTTTTTTTTTCTCCATTTAATTGCGCAGTGTTCTGAAAGTTGGATTGGTTCATTTTTCACGTTCTAGTTAGGTGTGAAGACATTTTCTTCTTTCATTTCCCCCATGCTGATTGAGTGTTTTCCTGTACCATAGTAACTACATTGATTACTAAATCAGAATTCATTTAGCTCACCACTTCTCTTGAATGTGATTGACCTACTTGAAAAATATTAATACCTTTAACTTTTGGAAACTATTAGTCTTCATAAACTACCCCAAAGCCACTAAAATGAAACAACATTGTGTGCTTATGTAAGTATTATCTAATGGCATTTTCTTTATCTCTTGAGAATTATTTCAATTACAGATGCTTGTAGAGATTTTCTAAAACTTTTTGGGTCTTTCAGTGAAGTGAAGACGTATGATCCTTCTGGTGACTCCACACTTCCAACCTGTTCTAAAAAACGCAAAATAGAACAGGTAGATAAAGAGGATGAAATTACTGAAAAGAAAGCAAAAAAAGCCAAGATTAAAGTTAAAGGTTAGTTTGAATTTTTTTTAACACAACTTATACTCATTTCTTTAGAACTATGGATTTTGTGAGTCTTACAAGTACATGCCATTGTACATGTCTTACAAGTACATTTATTATAAAACTGCTCGTTGAACGCTAATGGTGTTTTAATAATGCCATGATGTTCTCTGGGAATGATATTGTTAAATTTATCGGACTTCACAGAGGAAATGTGAGAAGTTTAGTCAAATTAGGTATTTTACTAAGAGTACCAAAACTTCAGTTTCTACTACATGAACTATTTTGAGAATTAAGAGAAAAAAGGAATGTATTTTCTAAATTGGTTGTTGAAAATTTTTTGTTTTATAGTTATATGGAATTGATGGAACAGTGATTTTCCTCATTGTTTCTGTTATCTGGAGTGGACTAGAAGGAACACATACTGGTAGCCTGCTGTCATAGTTACAATATCCAGTAGGTGCTAACCAGTTAACTAGGCTGTCTTGTGAAGTTGATAAGCAGGGGCCCCATTATTAGTTAAACCTGGGTTTCTTGAACACCTACTAGCAAGTCTAGCAAAAGAGTAAAGCATTAACACAATGATTGCTTTAACTTGGTTTCTAAGTAGCTTAGTGGTCAAAAGTGTATGTTCTACAAATGTGGATAGTATACTTGATAGAGAAGTAATTTATTTAACTTTTACGCTTCTTTTTATTGAAAAGTAAGGAGATCCCTAAACCCATTAGTAGCATTTGAGGCACCAAACTCTGTCTTTTGTATCCTCAATTGTGTATCCAATAAGCTTTTCTGATTTATCTGTCAATTTTTCATCCCACAATTTCCCCCCTCTTTTTTTTTCCCCCCCCACAAGACAGAGTCTTGCTCTGTCACCCAGGCTGGAGTGCAGTGGCGTGATCTCAGCTGACTGCAACCTCCGCCCCCTGGGTTCAAGTGATTCTCCTGCCTCATCTTCCTGAATAGCTAGGATTACGGGCATGTGCCACCAGGCCCGGCTAACATTTTTTGTATTTTTATTAGAGACAGGATTTCACCATGTTGGACAGGCTGGTCTTGATCTCCTGACCTCAAGTGATCCTCCCGCCTCAGCCTCCCAAAGTGCTGAGATTACAGGTGTGAGCCACTGCACCCAGCTGGTCACTGAATGTCTAATGATAGCTACGTGTTGAGTCCTTATTGTAATGTGTGCTAAGCATTATACTTTGTACTTTCTATGCATCATCTTTTTAAGTCTCGGTAACAATCCAGTAAGATAAGACATTCTTAAGTTTTATAGATGAGGATATGTAGTTTTACCAGGGGTAAATACAATTTTTCAGGGTTGTAGAGAGTAGACTAAACCCAGGCCTTCTGACTTCAGAGTGCAAGCTCTTAACCATTTCTAATATAATTGACTCTCTTCCCAATAATGATTGGAGATCAGATGACTGTTGTTTTAATCCTGATTTTTATACATGATTTCATGCTCGTGAGAAAATTGCCTGAGCTCTATCTGTATCGTTTGTTAAAGTTAGTGGTAGGCCTTGGAGAACCTTCCCAATTATAAAATAAACAAAACAAACATTGGGTAGTTGATGAGAATGACAGAAAAAAACCTAGGACTCAAACGTTTTTGGAAAGAGTGAGATCTGATATAGTGTTAATTTGTTGTGCCTTTACACTTACTCTATTCAGTTGAAGAAGAGGAAGAAGAAGAAAAAGTGGCAGAAGAAGAAGAAACATCTGTGAAGAAGAAGAAGAAAAAGGGTAAAAAGAAACACATTATGGAACAACCACTTTCTGAGGAAGAACCATGTACCAGCACAGCAATTGCTGTATGTTTGTTTTTAATTATCGATGTTCACTTGGAGGGGCCAGTTCTCCACATTTCAATCTATTTTCTATATCAGAAATGAGCAGGCATTTTAAAAAATGGTTTTCATTGATGGGGAGGTAAAAGTGAAATGGCTTTGTTGTATTTATATTATAAAAGGCCATTTCCCAAATCTAGAATTTATTACTAAAAATTGAGTTTGCATTGAGAGGAAGAGTATGATTTGCTGAAACTTACTTTTATAGGTGGGGTTTTTATATTTTCAATTTTAATCTTTTCCCTGAATTTGTTTTCAAGGGAAACAGATTGATTTTGCATTTTATGAAGAAAAGTGATTAGTCACCCATACAATTACAGCTCTTTCAAAGCATTCTTGTTGGCTATTTTCAGAGTCCAGAGAAAAAGAAGAAAAAGAAAAAAAAAAGAGATAACGAGGATTAACAGAAAGGAATTACAAGTGTATCACCTGGACACATCATGCTTAAGATTCAACTGGGAGCATACCAGGGATGCTCTCTAACATAACCAAGGGAAGGTTCAGTAAAACAAAGTGATTTATCATCTATAACTTCAAACCTATTTGTGTCTTGACATCAACTCTGTTAACATCATCACTTTCTAGAGTCTTTGATATACAAATAAAATTTTCTTTGTATTTTAAGACAATTTTGTGATCTCTTTATATCTTGAGTAGAGAATCTTTGGCTCTTTCTATAGTTTGCCATGTGATGATTATTGTTTTGATAATTATAACTGAAAAGTGAGAGTTTTTTTGAAATTTGACCTTTTGGAAGGCAGTGACTAAGTGGACCAATTCAAGAACCCTACTCTAATGTGTTTCTTTTGCCTTTTTGGACTACTTTTTATTTTCCACCTATTGTCTTTCTACCTCTCTTTATTTAAATATTGTTTCTTGTTCAAATTTTAAAATTAGGTGAGCAAAACATTTTAGTATCTGTTCAGAAAGGTGGGAGACAGTATCCCTACCTTTATTGTTTGCAATTGTAAAAGGCACACCGAAATAATTCTTAATACCCTGATTTGTTTTTAAAGTAGTCAACCTGAAGTGACTTTTTTAAAGGTTGTACAAAGTGATCATAAAGAATGGAAAATAGAGAAAAAAAAAAAAAGAAAAAAAAAAGTGCCAGTGGGAATGAGGTATAAAAAAGTAGGACAGTAGAATGCCAAAGAGAAACCTTTATTTCTGAGTGGTAGTGTTTAAAGCCTGGTAGACCTTATAGTCATGAGAGTCATGAGTTTTATAGCACTGTTACATATTGCCAGTTTGTACCCAATTCAGTAAACGCTGTTAGTGGGTGGAAACTAGAATGACTATGGCTTTTGAGTTCCACCTTTGCTTTTCAAGTCAACAGCCCCTCTTTGGTTTTCTCATTTCTAAATCACAGATAATGGTCAATTTTATCTCTCCCAACTGATTTGTAGAAAATGAAATGACATAAACTTTCAGAGATGTTACTAGGCTTCAAATTTAATTTGTTTGAAATAAATATTGATAAAATACATGCAGCCATCCCTAGACAAAATTACATAATAAAGCTGGTTATCTTGTTCCCAGGAGAGCATTGTCATTTTTGCATCACCCACTTGTACCACAGATACATTCCTAATTTAGGACAAAACGGACTTAGTTTATGACTGACTTTTGATGAAAATGGCCTAACCACCTACCCAGATGTACAGTCAAAAGGTTTACATGCAAAACAAGATAGGTTTTTGAGAAACCTAAATAATAGACTTCTAGTTATTTGAATAATCTTCTGCAGGCCCAGAGAAAGCATAGTTAAATCCTGCAGCAACCACCTCTCATAAGGGCTGAAGGCTTAATTGTTTAAAACACTAACCAAAAGGTAGATTCTTATTCTTCTTGGTACTATTGAAGCACTTCTGATGAAGAGCCTTGTGAACTTAGTTTGAAATCGGAAACTCGGGTGAGTTCTATATACCTAGTTTTGATTAGTAAATTTGAAGAATTTCTGTGGCTGCACCGCAAAACTCTGCTGAAAACTTACTGATTCTCCATTTCCCTTCAAAAATGGAAATTTCTATTTTCCAGTTTGAGCTCCTGTATCTGTCCATTGCCTTCTGGCTCCTCAGCACGATTACACGGCCCTTGAGTGAGCTGTCCTCTCTCCTCCAACTTCAGTGCTGTCCCAGGGCTCTTTTAGAAAAAGATTTGTTTGCTGCCCTTGATGGGTTCTCTGATCCATCTGTTGCTTCTCTGTGACCATTTTCAGACTTGGCTCAGGCTCATCCTTTATCCCAGCTGTACCTCTTAGAATAACATGGAGTAGGGCCAAATGTCTCAAACCCTAACTAGTGTGCATAGGAATTATCTAGAGACCTTGCTTGATAAAATGTAAATCTGATGCTCTGTTAGTGCCGCCACAGCAGGAAAAAAAAAATGCAGGTCTGGGTTGGAGCCCAAGATGTCCTCATTTTTCACAAGCTCAGGTGGTGCTAGATGAGGGTCCATGTGCATGGTAGCAAAGTACTAGGATAAATTACTTAAACTCTCAGAGCTTGTTTGCTTATCTGAAACTGGATTTCTCTGAGAATTACGTGAGATAATGCTTGTGAAGAAGTTTATGTGGTAAAGTTAAGATTTAACCCTTAGCTACTTGGGAGGCTGAAGCAGGAGGATTGCTTGAGTCCAGGTGGTTGGGGCTGCAGTGAGCCGTGGTCACACCACAGCACTCCAGTCCGGGTGACAGAGCCAGACTCTGTCTCTTAAAAAAAAATTTAGCCAGGCGCGATGTCTCATGCCTGTAATCCCAGCACTTCGGGAGGCTGAGGTGGGCTGATCACGAGGTCAGGAGATCAAGACATCCTGGCTAACATGGTGAAACCCCAGCTCTACTAAAAATACAAAAAAAAATTAGCCGGGCGAGGTGGCGGGCGCCGGTAGTCCCAGCTACTCAGGAGGTTGAGGCAGGAGAATGGCGTGAACCCGGGAGGTGGAGCTTGCAGTGAGCCGAGATGGTGCCACCGCACTCCAGCCTGGGTGAGAGAG